GAGCTGTGGCACCAGGGCGGGGAGGCTGCCATTCCGCGGTCCAGGGATCGGCCTGTGCGGATATCGCGGGAGGCGTGGGCCTTCAGAATGCGGGATCAGATGTCAGCATTGCAACTTAACCTCCGGGGGTCCAGCACATTGCTGACTTCTGTTCCACGTGCCGAGGAGCGGCATCTGGGCCGGGACACATCGGGGATTGCCGACCGTGGCCTCGAGGGCCAAGCAAAACGAGGTTATATCTCCGCTCCAGGGGGCAGTCGGTCCGCGCACCTGCAGGGCTGTTCGCGACCTGCCGCGGGGCGCCATTGGCGCCCGAGGGGGGCGAGGCCAGCGGTGCCAGCACCCTGCGATGCCGAGCGTCGCCCGAGAACTGCCCGCCCCACCCGTCCCCGAAAGTCGCGGGGAAGCGACGGCGGAGGTCGGGGGAAGAACTGGATTCGACGGCGGTGGGGGGCTCCCGAGAGAAGGCGGGGGTGGTTTCACTTGCCGCGGGGAGGCCTCGGGGCCAGAGTCTAGGGGGGTTTCGAGCTGGGCGATGGCGTTTGCCGTCAGATGCCCAGAGGCTTCAATGCCCTTCTGATCTGCATCCGCGCAGCATTCCCAAACTCGACCCAAAAGGGGTTCACGGTGCAAGAGGATTCACACTTCACTTTGCATCCCAGACACAGGCTGTCAATGTCGTTCTTGCAGCCTGCTTTTTCTCGCGGGGCCATTGCGCCTCCGTGGCGACGTCCTCGTCGGGCGCCCACTGGTAGCCGTCTTCGTCGATGTTGAGCCCGTCGAATTCTTTCTCCGCGAGCGCGGCGCCCGCCCCTGCGCCGAGTTCGGCGCCTGCCCCGTGGGCGGGCGCCGCCGCCCGCGACGCGCGATCGACGGGGGCTTCGACGTCGCCCAGGCTGTCCGCGAAGTCCCGGTGGAAATCTTGGGAACCGTCGTCCGTGCAGGACGGGGCCCTTCGAGTGAAACCGTTGTCCGCGCCCCGCTCCATCGGTGAGCGGGGCGCCCGCTGGGCGTCAAGCTGGGTCGCGATGGCCGCGCCGATGCCCCCCCTGGCGTCGCGCCGCCGCCTCGGGCCAGCCGGGCGAAGGCGAGCGAGAACTTCGGCCCGGCACTGGGTGACGCGAGGGTGGATATCGGGGTGGTCGCGCTGCGTCTTCAGCCGCGACGCGAGGTGCCCCCCGCCAGAACCTTGGCAGGATCACGACGGCAGAGAACACCAACAGTCGAGAGGCGAGGCATCCCCTAGGGCCTCATCCGCGCGCCGCGCTTACTGGCGTCGTAGCTGGTGCTCCGAAGGCGCCCCGAAGATTTGGCGTGCGCGTGTGCTCTGAGGCATGGCGCTCGTGCTTCAGAGGGCATTGGCAATTTCGCGAAACTTGGCTCTGCGCCTTGCCCCACGCTCGGCGAGGGCGCGAGAGTTGCGCCAGCCTTGGCCAGGTCGCCTGCGAGAGTGGCGCCTGAGCGGCCTCGGATGTCATCGACGAAGGTGCGAATATTGATCCGCAATCTGAGCTCGCTCCAAGTTGGGCCCGAGAAGCTTTGCCGAGTCGGCCTCCGTTCAGCGAGCCTGGCGCAACATTGCGCCATGGTTGGATGTGCTTGCTCACGGATGCTCGGCCCCTCAGCTGCCGATGGGGCGAGAAATATCTGAACCTGAAGAGCAAGGGTCGCGGCTGGAAAATCTTGCCGACGCGCGGCAGCGCAAAGTAGCGACGCGGAAAATGCACTGTAGAACGCCCCGAGGTCGAGGAGAGCGTAGCAATGCCTATCCCGCGGCAATTTCCGCAGATGCATGAGCGAATGAGGGGCGCTTGCAGTTGTGGGGGGCCACGGGCCGCCGTGTCCCAGTGCTCCGACTTCTCTTCGGATCATGGACGTCCATCGCTGTTGCGAATCTGAGCCTGCAGCTACCATGGATGCGATCGCCCCCGCTCGGCGCCGGAGCAATTGCAGCGAGCGCCATGAAAAGCTGCTGAGGGCCGCGTGCAGGACGAATCCACTTAGCCCCCACCCTTCTGAGCATGCGAATGGTAATCGGATCCGATTGAGGCAGCTGAACTTGTTCACGAGAGGTGAGGTATCGAGTGCCGACCTGCATGCTCCTGGTCGACGCGTCTGGATCATTCCATTCACGAGCCCAATCGTCAGCGTGAGCGCCCCTGATCTGGCCAGGGGGTCATAGATGCTGTCAGGCTTGATGATTCCGACGGCGTCGGAGGAGCGCCGCCTTTGACGCGTCGGTGCAGGGTGCCAGGTGGCCCCCCCCCACATCTCGATGACCATTGGTGCGCATTCTTGGCTTTGGTGAGGGCCCGGCTGGTCCTGGACTTGCACTTCGGCGCGCGCCGACATGGCGTCCAAGTCGAATGCGCTGGCCTCGTCGATGTCGTGGATCGAGGCCGCCCAGGGCAGCCGGCCGCCATCCGCGTCCCTCGCGAACGAGGGTTCGATGGTCTGGTGGCTCACGTCCTTGAGCTCGACGAGCTTACGCTTGCAGTGCGTGAGGACCACCTCCTTGTCGGGGCGGCGTGGCAGTTTGCATCTGGCGAGCAGAGTGATGCACTATTCCCGCCGCTCCAGGTTTTCATCGCGTATGCGGGGCCAGCCCGGAGTCGCTCGAGTTTGCGCCCGTTGGAAGTCGTGGCCGCTGGCTCTGCTGCTGAATTTGGCGCGGCCCTGCTGACAAACGTCGCAGTGGTTCAACGTGGCCAACTCCGCAACTCCGCAGCCTGGGCCCACTGGCCATGCGACGAAGAGAAGCGGTCATGGCTGCGCGGATGGCAATCCGACGCCGCGGCGTCTGTCGCATTGGGTTTTCGAACGCAGGGTTGCTCGTGCGCCTGTGCCCAGAGGTCCAAATGGATGTCGAGCTCCGCGGTGGGCGGGCGTTCGGGTGGGCGATCGTTTCGGTGTATTTCTTCTAAGGCTTCATGAAGATGTTCCGACAACTGCTCCTGGCGACGCCGTTTCGATCTGGGGGTGGCCGTCCGCGGCTCGCTGCCGGGGTCGGGGGGCCGTCGGGGGCGAGGATGCGTGGGCAGAGGCTTGGCTGCCGAGGAGGCTTGGGTCCGCCAGTAAGTTTTAGCAGTTCCCACGCCGACTCTCAAGCCTGCGTGGGTCTTCCAAGTCTGCGCGGGGCGACGGACGCTTGCGTTCCGTCGGGCAGCTGGCGGCCGGCGACTGCGCAATCGATGGGTGCGCCTGGATCTCGGCTGCGCGTGACCGAGGCGTTCGCGGGAAGCTTCGACTTCCCGTCCAGCTTCTGAGCCCGCGATGTCTTGCCCCACTTTTCGGGGGCCATGTTCGAGCCCCCCGTGGGGATTCGTGGGTCCCTGAAGTTTCAAGAAGGCTTCCAGACGACGGGGCTCTTTCATTGCCATCTTCGAGCATGGGGCCAGTCAATGTGTCAAGTCGCCGCCGTGATGTTGCCTGCCAGAGCGCGCCGCAGCAGAGGGCAGACGCCTTGAACGAGGTCAGCGCCGGAGCGAGAGAGTTCTGCCGCGCGCCATTGCCCGAAGCTGGCAATCGCGGTGAACTTGCGGCAAGCCGTGCACTTCCTGCCTGACGCGCCCGTGGCGGGGCGCCCCGTGGGAGTGGCCCGAGTGCTGACCACGCGCCGCCAACTCTTGGGCAGCTCAGTCTTGGCCGACAGGAGCCGTTCTGCAACGGCGTGGGTCTCGAGCGCGCGGGCGAGCGCGCGCTCGCTGGCCTGGCCCCTCGAGAACTTTGAGGGCGCCGGGGCCCTCTCCGAAGTTTTCGCGAGGGGGACCTGAGTGTCGAGATGTTGCACAGAGGCTGCATGGATTGTTCGAACGCAAATTGGGGGCCGCCCCGCCAGTCTCGAAGCCAGCGGTCGTGTCGTCACCGTGCTTAGAAGGGGCTGGCGCCACTGATGCTCGCGGCGCAGGCGGGCGCGCCCGCGGCCGCCCCGCCGGCATTGGCGATGGGGCCGCCCGTCGAGAGAGCGAGCGGACGAGCTGGTGGAGCAGCCGTGCGTGCGCCCACCTCAGACTTGATTTTGGCCTTTGGCCTCCGCCTCCTCGAGGGCTGCCTTTCGCTGGAGGTCGGCGGCGTGTCGGAGCTCCTCGTAGTTGGCGTCGTCGCTGCCGGGGGCGTCGGCGTGCGGGCGCTCGTTTGGAGGGGGCTGCGCGGCCGCCTGGCCGTCGCCGGCGGAGCCCGCGCCGACGGCCGCGCTGCCCTCCTGGTCGACCCCGGCCTTCGTGCGGGGGGGGGACCCGATCTTTTTTCGCTTGCTCCGCCGCCTCTTGGACTGTGGTTTGAAGCTTCGCAACCACTTCAATCTGGACCCTGATGTCCTGCTCGATCTTCTTGAGCTGGACTCGCCGTCGAAGTTCGCCAGGCCGCTGAAGAGCGCGTCGTGCACCGCGAAGACGATCCTGTTGCCGTCTGAAGTGTAGACAGGCTGGGGCGCCTGCACAATGCCGTGTTCTGCAGGCTTCTTGGCCGCCGCCGCGTGGCGCCATTTGGGTTCCTGGTGCGAGGGGGAGAGAGAGAGAGAGAGAGAGAGATATATACGTATATATGAATAGCTGAGAATTCTCGTCGGCCTCAGTGGCCGCATTCTTGGCTTGGACCGAGGAGCGCGTGGTCTTCTGCGTGGCCTGGTACTTCGGGTCGAGCGCGCGGGCGAGGTGCCGGGCGTCGTCGCGAGTCTGTTCGCACTTAGATTCGAGGCGCCGCCGGAGGATACTCGGCTCCTCCTTGAGCGCGGGGCGCGAGGCCGGCGGGGCGGCGAGGGAGGTCGGGTCCCGGTCCTCAGGCGATGGGCGGTTCTGGTCGTGCCACGTGGCCCCTTTGAACATGGACTGGCGGGGCTGGCGCGCGCCCTGAGTCCGCCGCGCGCTTTTGGGCGGGGGCGAGTGGAGGTCGGCGGGCGACCAGCACTTCGCGCACTTGCCGCCGTTCTTGACAATCCTGACGTTGGACGGCCAGTTGTCGCAGCCTCGGCGCCGCGAGAAGGCGCCGTTGCGCGCGTGCATGGCTTGGGCTGGGGCTGGGGGCGACGAGGGGCCCGTGCCGTCGGGCTGCCGCCGGGGCCGCGGTCCCCTGAAACGACAGGATGCTCGACTCGCCTGAGAGTCTGGCATTTTGGGTCACAGCGGCTGCGGAGGGCCAGGGGGGATGGGGGAGGAGGAGGGGGGGGATGAGGAGGGGAGGACGAGGAGGACTGGAGGCGTAACGAGGAGTTATGGAGGCGCAGCGAAGAGCAATGATCGGCATGCCGATCAACAGTTGCACTCATTCTTGTTTGCGCATGCTTGCGCACATCAGAGACAGTGTCGGGCGCGTTGTTGCATTTTCTTGCGTGCCTGTCGATCCTGCGCTTCCGCCGTTGTGGTGCCCACTACGCTTCTGCATGCCCGTTGACCCGCCCTTTCCGCCGCGGTCAGCGCAGGCAGCAGCGGGGGCGGCAGCGGCGTCGGAGGAAGTGGCGCGAAGGAGGAGGCGTGCAGGGCAGACGAGAAACCCTCGCCGGCCCGCGAGAACGAGCACATGGTTGTGGGAGGCGAAGCCCCTGGCTGCAGAGGAGCCGACTGCCAGCCCAGGCAGAACCGGCAGTGCCCCGCAAGAACGCGCCGGAGGCGACGACGGCCACATTGGCGCCGATGACCAGCGAGGACGCATCGCCCCAAGCGGAGGAGGCAAGTGCAGCCTCGGCGGGAACGGCGGCGGCCAACGACCGCGTGGACGTCGGTCTTGACCGCGAAGATGGTGAAGCCTGGGGGCAAGGTCAGGCTTGTTCGCCGTCAAAACGCAAACACCCCGAGTGGGTTGGCGGACCAGGGCACGCGCGGGAGATAAACATTCAATTTGAATTCGAAAGATAGATCCATCATGCCCTAAAATATCGTGTTTGAGGCACGGTCCATGTCGCAATTGCATGTCGGGCGCGTGCAACCAGCTGGCAGGTGCCAGTAGTACTTCAGTCCAAGTCGGGTAATGGATTTGAACCTATCTGGGAACGGGACAGCGAGAACGTATGAACGAATTTGTTTGAACTGCTTTTCGGGGTCAGCTTTGCTGATGAACGACCGTTTTTGTTGTACATTTTGATGCCCTCGTCGTGGTCGATGCATCGCCCGTATGATGCGGTCTGCGTGCAAGATGACTGACAACTGGCGGAGTAGGCATATCAGGCGGAGTAGAAATTATGTCACTCGGACATGCATCCCGCCCCATTTCATGACAGATTGGTTGGACTACTTCCCGATCACATGTTGGTATAACCGAGTTATTACTTGGGGGGGTCGAACACTTTCGCGAGAGAGCAGGAGAAACCTGCGCATTTTAGGAGTCATCAGAGGGATGATATATTCCATCATCATCACCATCGTCATCATCATCATCATCATCATCATCATCATCATCATCATCATCATCATCATCATCATCATCATCATCATCATACTCATCATCATCATCATCATCATCATCATCATCATCATCATCATCATCATCATCATCATCATCATCATTATCATCATCATCATCCCATCATCATCAACAGCATCATCATCAACTTCAGCATCATCATCACCATATCAAACTTCATACAAATTCGTCACGGCAGTGTACTCTTGGTGGGCAGCGGACCTACATCGATCTTGCGGTCAGCTGCATTACGACTACCTCTCCGCCTTCGCATTCGTTATGACCACACCTTGGGCAACATCCTCCCAGCTTTCTGCTCCTCTCTGGCCGTCGCCCCCGCCTTACCTCCTCAGTGTTTCTTCCCCCCTCTCTGGAGGGAAGTGTGCGGGGGGTGGTAGCGCTGATGAGGAAGAGGAGAAACGGAGGATCTGATATCGCCGTGTACAGAAGCTGCAGGTAATTCGAATCAAACTGGATCCGCTGGATGAGGATGGACGGCGTCACCATGCTCAGTTCCAGGATGCGTATGTAGGATGGCCGAGCAAATAATGGCATGCAAGTGAATGTTTGGGTTGACTGCAAGCATCACTTTGCTGCGCGTGTTTGCCGTAGGATATGGGGGAGGAAGAGGATTTGCGGAGGAAGTCGATGAGGAGAGTGTCGACCGCCACGGGTACAACACATTGTTCCGGTGAGGGCTTCGCACCGAAAGTGTCGACCGCCGTTGCCAGAGTTCTCGCGCATCAGCATCCCGTATAGAAGACTTTCGGTGAGGGCAGTAGGGGGGAGGTGGCGGCGGAGGAGGAGGAGCGGACGGAAAAGAGGATGATCAGTGTTCGCCTTAGCGTTCGCTCTTCCGGTGATCACCATCACTGCCTCTATCGCGAATCGCGGTGCCGCGGTTTTGTAGTGAGGCCACAGGCCCAGGGCATTTCTACATCTGCGCTGCTTCCAGAGGCGCACGTTGCCGTGTTGGAGAAGGCGATCGCAAGTGGGGGGACCTGGGGCGAGTCGTTGCGGAGGCGGAGGAGCACCAACAACATGGCCTTCGGACAGGGCATCATTTCGGGCATCTCTACATCGAAATATTTCGTATTGCTGCCATGACATCGTGTACACAGGCCCCACAATATTTGTTTGAAAGCGCAGACTGCTGCATCCCTGGCCTTTGGTGTAGCGCGCCACTGTTGGCGCCTGCTCTTCATGGTAATGTTTGGTCTTGAGGGATCTGCAGAAGAGAGGGTGATGGTTGGAACTGGTGTCGCTGCGTAGTTCTTCAACAGCACCGCAGTACTCATGCTCTCGCCCTCGCGGGTTCCTCTTTTCTTTGTTGCCCTCTCCCGCCGCACCAAGATTCCTGCGCCGTGTGCCGTGGGCTAAGGTAGTAATGCTGCGGTCCTTTTTGCAGAGAGCGTTCAATCATTGACGCTACGAGCCCTGTCGCTCAGAGTCGGACCAACGAAGAAAGGAGAAGGAAGAGGAGGAGGAGGAGGAGGAGGAGGAGGAGGAGGAGGAGAAGGAGGAGGAGGAGGAGGAGGAGGAGTAGGAGGAAAGGGAGGAGGAGGAAGGGATGGAGGAAGAGGAGGAGGAGGAGGAAGAGGAGGAGGAGGAAGAGGATGAAGAAGGGGAGGAGGAGGAAGATGAGGATGAGGAGGAGGAAAGAGATAGTGGGGATGATGATGATGATGTTGATGTTGATGATGATGATGCTGATGATGATGGTGAGGATGAGGATGAGGATGATACTGATTATGATGATGATGATGATGATGATGATGATGATGATGATGATGATGATGATGATGATGATGATGATGAGCAGGAGGTGGTGGATGATGATGATGATGATGAGGAGGAGGATCATGATGATGATGGTGCTGATGCTGATGCTGATGCTGATGCTGATGCTGATGCTGATGCTGATGCTGATGCTGATGCTGATGTTGTTGTTGCTGTTGAATATTCATTTCAATCGAATAATTATTGTTGATCTCCGCAAACGGTTCCGCGCGCTCTCGCCTCGACGCCGGCTACATTTTCTCTGAAAACGAGGCTCCCGCTCGAGCATTGGCTTGACCCTAAATGTGGGCCCTTGGAGGCCCAGCTACGGCAACAACGGCTCCCGCTCGATACTTCCTCACAATTTACATGCAACACCCTGGCCAGAGAGGCTCCCGAACTCAGGAACGGCGCTCTCGCTCGAGGCTTCCTCGCAATTCAATCAAGTTGACGGAGGCCCAGCCACGACGACAAGGGCTCCTGCTCGATACTTCCATACAATTTACCCCGAGACACCCTGGCCAGAGATGCCCCCGAACTTATGAACGGCGCTCTCGCTCGAGTCTTTCTAGTAATTCAAGCAAGTTTGCGGAGGCCCAGCCACGACGACAAGGGCTCCTGCGCGATACTTCCTCACGATTCACTTCGAGAAACCCTGGCCAAGAAGGCCCCCGAACTTATGAACGGCGCTCTCGCTCGAGGCTTTCTCGTAATTCAGGCAAGTTGGTGGAGGCCCCGACACGGCCACAAGGGTTCCCGTTCGATATTTCTCCACAGGCACCCCGAGAGCCCCTGGCCAGAGAGGTCCCCGAACTCAGGAACGGCGCTCTCGCTCGAGACTTCCTCGCACTTCAGTCAGTGGCCGACAAGGAAAAGATTCCCCCCGAAAGGGGGTGCAATCGAAGACGACGTGGGCGGGTATCGAGGGTTGGGGTATACGGAATGCAAGCCACGCGTGCCAGTAAGAGCGAACAGTCTTAACACGATTGTTGTTGTTGTTGTTGTTGTTGTTGTTGTTGTTGTTGTTGTTATTGTTGTTGTTGTTGTTGTTGTTGTTGTTGTTGTTGTTGTTGTTCTGGTTGTTCTGGTTGTTGTGGTTACTGTTGTTATGCTGTTGTTGTTCTTGTTGTTGATGTTGTTGATGCTGATGCGGATGAGCATGATGATGCTGATGCCGATGCTGATGCTGATGCTGATGATGCTGGTGATGATGATGATGCTGATAATGACGATGATGATGCTGCTGATGATGCTGATGCTGATGATGCTGCTGATGATGATGATGCTGATGATGATGATGAGGAGGAGGAGGAAGATGATGATGATGATGCTGATGATGATGATGATGCTGATGATGATGATGATGATGATGATGAGGATGAGGAGGAGGAGGAGGATGAGGATGAGGAGGAGGAAGCTGAGGAGGAGGAGGAGCAGGAGGAGGAGGAGGAGGAGGAGGGGGATTAGGAGGAGGATGCGGAGGAGGCGGAGGAAGAAGAGGAGGACGGGAAGGAAGAAAAGGAGCAGGAAGGAGAGGTGGAGGAGGAGGAGGAGGCTGAGGAAGGAGGAGGGAGGAGTAGGAGGAGTAGGAGGGGGAGGAGCAAGATGAGCATGAGGAGGAGGAGGAGGAGGAAGAGGAGGAGGAGGAGGAGGAGATGAGGAGGAGGGAGAGATGAGGAGGAGGAGGAGGAGGAGGGAGGAGGGGGAGGAGGAGAGGAGGAGGACGAGAAGGAGGAGGAAGAGGAGGCGGAGGAGGAGGAGGCGGAGGAGTAGGAGGAAAGGCGGGAGCACGAACAGGATGAAAATAACGAGCAGGGGGAGGAGCAGG